TATATATATATAGAATAGTTGTTTTGTTCTACTTACTTTTTTAGCTTTTGACAAATAAGAGTCTCTTAGAAAAAAGACACTAAACCATATATATATATTACCTATATATAGCTACTTGTATAGGAATCGGTAAGCGTAATTAAAAGGAAAGCACGTCTGTTTTCTTATTCTAATTTTCTTGCCTTATTAAGCAATCAAATTTTTATTATCTAGATATATAATAAAGAAATACCAGCTATTATATATAGCAAAATTTCTGTGCACACAGATAACTTACACTGATTTACTTAGGTACCGATATAAATTGAAATAAAAAAGATTTTTATTTATCTAGTTTTTCTATATAATTCATGTAATAGTACTTTTTCTATTTTTCTGTTTATGCACTAACAAGTATGTTTTGTACCTAGTAACTATCTATGTACTATCTTATAGTAGTACTACAGTGCCATGATTTTGGCTATAAAAATAGTAGTAACTATAAATGTATAGTCGCCCAGGCGGAGGAAGTTTTAGTAAATTGCTGGTCTTATTACATTATGAATATCTATAAAATAGACATTTTTACAGTAATATTTTCTATATAATTTTTATATTTCACAGTAATTTAAAGGTATACTATTGATATATGAAAAAAGAATTCTTTTACGATAGAAATACTACAATTTATTATTGTAGTATTTCTATCTATTCTTGATAACTTTTTCTAAAGAGAAACTATCAAGAATAAACAACAAATTAACATCCTTTTTATAAAATATACAAATTAACAATGAACACACAACTATCACGAACACAATTTCAATTCCAGCCATTTCATCTAGTTACACCTAGTCCATGGCCACTACTAACATCATTTGCACTTCTAATCCTAACTTCAGCTGCTGTAATGTACTTTAACGGTTACGCTAACCCTCTTGGAGGTTCAGGAGCTCTACTAGTTGGAATCGGGCTAGCAACTACAGTTGCTGCTATGGCTCTATGGTTCCGAGATGTAGTAGCAGAAGGAACATTCCTTGGAGACCACACAATTCTAGTACAGAAAGGAATTACTATGGGTGTTGCTCTATTTATTATCTCAGAGGTATTCTTCTTTATCTCTGTATTCTGGGCATTCTTCCACTCAAGTCTATCACCTACTGTTGAACTAGGAGCTCAATGGCCACCAGTTGGTATTGCTACAATTAACCCATTCGAACTACCACTACTTAACACTATCCTACTACTATCATCAGGAGCAACAGTTACATACGCACACCACTCTGTGATTGAAGGTAACCGACGAGGAGCTATCCTAGGAACACTAATGACACTAATTTTTGCTGTTCTATTTACAATCTGTCAAGGAATCGAGTATGTAAATGCTGGATTTACTATTGCAGATGGAGTATTTGGATCAACATTCTTCTTCTCAACAGGATTCCACGGTATCCACGTTATTATTGGAACACTATTTATTGCTGTTGCATTCTTCCGAATGCTTAGCTACCATCTAACAGACCACCACCACCTAGGATTTGAAGCATCAATCCTATACTGGCACTTTGTTGATGTTGTTTGGCTATTCCTATTCATCTCAGTATACTGGTGGGGAAGCTAATATAGAGAAATCTATATCCCCTTTTCTGGGCTCTTATTCAAGAAATTAGTTAGTTGGGGAAAAATTCTACTAGTGCTATATACTATTATTATATAAGAATAGAAAAACCAAAAATTGTCCTTAATTCAACGGTTAGAATGTGTTTCCGATAAAGACATTATAGAGGTTCGATTCCTCTAGGACAAAATGCTTATTAAAAAAGAAAATTCCTTTACTTAATTTCATCACCGCTCTTTTACTATAGAAAAAAGAAATTGGGTCCTATTTTTACTTTATTAACTGATTAATATAGGAGTTGAGATAATTGAATCAAGAAAATCTATTTTAAAAATAAAAATATTGTAGAAGTAGTAATATACCATAGAGCCGCGTATATTTACAGAACGACATGAATATGAATTCATGAAATATTATAGAAGTGTTGTACTTCTTTATCTATTATAAACCTTATAATAATACTTCTTTTTCTGCTTAGTAGCGGATATAGAATTGATTATTAACTTCAGATGATAAAATAACAATCTGATTAATAGATAAAAGCCCTTTCATAATATAAATAAAATAGAATTATTTTATAACTATGTTCAATGAAGGGTTAGAAAAAGAAAAACAGTTAATGCGACTACTTAAAACACATCCTATTCTAGGTCTAGCTAACAGTTACCTAATTGATAGTCCACAACCTTCGAACCTTTCTTACATGTGGAACTTTGGATCACTACTGGGAGTTTGTCTAATTATTCAAATTCTTACAGGAGTATTCCTAGCTATGCATTATACACCTTCAGTTGATCTAGCATTTATTAGTGTTGAACACATTATGCGAGATGTTAATTATGGATGGCTAATCCGATACCTACACGCTAACACAGCTTCATTCTTCTTTATTTTCGTATATCTTCACATTGGACGAGGGCTATACTATGGATCATACAAATCACCACGAACACTACTATGGTCAATTGGAGTAATTATTCTTGTTCTGATGATGGCTATTGCTTTCCTTGGTTATGTTCTGCCATACGGACAAATGAGTCTATGGGGAGCTACAGTTATTACTAACCTTCTAAGTGCTATTCCATGGATTGGACAAGACTTTGTTGAGTTTGTTTGGGGAGGATTCTCAGTTAATAATGCTACACTAAACCGATTCTTCTCACTACACTACCTACTACCATTTGTACTAGCAGCTCTAGCTGCTATGCACCTACTAGCTCTACACGAGCACGGAAGTAGTAACCCACTAGGAGTTTCAGGTAACACAGATCGACTACCATTCCACCCTTACTTTACATTCAAAGATCTAGTTACAATCTTTGTATTCCTACTAGCTCTATCTCTATTTGTATTCTACATGCCAAACGCACTAGGACACTCAGATAACTATATTCCAGCTAACCCAATGCAAACACCAGCATCAATTGTTCCAGAGTGGTACCTACTACCATTCTATGCTATTCTACGATCAATTCCTAATAAACTGCTAGGAGTTATTGCTATGTTTATGTCACTTCTAATTCTACTAGGAATGCCTGTTCTAGATACATCACGAATCCGAGGTAGTCAATTCCGACCACTAATGCGATTCTCATTCTGGACATTTGTTGCTTGTTTCTTTATTCTAATGTTTATCGGTAGTCAACACGTGGAAAGTCCATATGTTGAAATCGGTGCTGCAGCTACTGCTTACTACTTCGGTTGGTTCCTAGTAGTAGTACCAGCAATCGGTATTATTGAGAACACACTAATGGATATTGCTCTAGCTGAAGGATCTTCATCAGAAGTTGTTTCACAAAAAACACCTACACCACTACTACGAAGTGTTGTATAGTATATTTACACTTTCCCCCAGTCCTATGAAAAAAAATACTGTTTATAGTAAATGATTTTTACGTTTTTATTTCTTTTTTCCACTGTATTGTTACTATTAACATATATATTATATAAAATTAATTCATTATTGTCTTATATATTCTTTAGAATGGGCGCGCATAACAAAAAGTAACTTTTTGTGAAGAATATTTCTTAAAAAAGAATATAGAAAAAGATTTTTTTTCTATTTATGCATATTTATAAAGGTATAGATAAGAATGATCACTGATAAAGTGTATCCAATAAGTAATAGTTACTAAAAGATGGTATTTTAGTAAGTTTTAGTAATTATTATGAGACGCGTTTTAAGTTAGAATTATAATGGTAAACGCTTAGTAATTGTTTAATCGTGGCAAAGTTAGAACGTTATCTGGTAGTTTTACTCATGCAAGTCGTATGGTATTTAAGAATATCATGGCGTACAGGCGAGGAGAAAAAAGTACATACCTTTAGTAGATGATAGAAACATCTAATTAATGAAGGAAATTTTCCGACTAAAGATTGGCTTTATATCTAGCAGGTAGTTGGAGTGGTAAAGGCGCTCCAAGCCTATGACGGATAGGAAATAGCGAAAGCTTCAATTCCCGCAATTGGTTTGAGAATAACCAATGGTGTCTTTAAGACATGCTGCAGAGGAGGATCTTGGGCAATGCTCGAAAGAGTGACCCAGCTAACCAGAACTCGAAAGAGTGTCGTAAGGGAGGATAATGACGTTACCTTACTAATAGTCCAATCTAAGTCTCGTGCCAGCAGACGCGGTTATACGAACTGGGCAAACGTTTAATAAATTAATAGGTATTAAGGATCCGTAGGCGGTTTCTACTAAAGAAACTAGAATCTAATAGAGGATAGTGGAATGCTAGGAGGAGGGATGATATCCATTGATATCTAGCGGAACACTAAAGGCGAAAGCAGCTATCCAGCTAAAGATTGACGCTCAGGGATGAAAGTCTGGGGAGCAAAACAGATTAGATACCTGTGTAGTCCAGACCGTAAACTATTTACATTTCTTATTTGGCTAAACTATTCGTAGTTATTTTGTCAGATAAGCAGCAAACCGCTGTATGTGTAACACCTTGTAAGTACAGTCCCAGGACCGAAAGCAAAAAGATTAGACCATCCTAAAGACCCGGAGTGGAGCATGTTGTTTAATACGATAATCCGCGTAGAACCTTACCTCTCCTTGAATGGCTTACATAACTTTGTTTGTAAGATCACAGGCGTTGCATGGCTGTCGGCAGTTCGTGTCGTAAGATGTCAGGTTGAGTCCGCCAACGAACGCAATCCCTATAAGAAGTTGTTATCAGTTATTATACTGCTCTTCTTATTTGCATTCAATAAGAAGCATTTTGGGAATACGATAAGCCTTCATGACCCTTATGGAGTATGGGCTACAGACGTGCTACTTGAACCTAACAAACTGATGCAATACCGTAAGGTGGAGCTAACCAGTAAAATATGGTGATACTAGGATCGTAGTCTGAAATTCGACTACGTGAATCAGGAATTCCGAGTAATCGTTGATAAGTACGCAACGGTGAACTTTTACATTTGGGAGATACTAACCGTCTATCAAGTGTTGGTCGTTTATCAAGCTATGAACTAGTGTTTACTTTGATTCTTTCTCTTATCTCAGTATTACTATATAGTTACTACGCTGTAGTTGTATAGAAATAAGTAAAATTGTTTCTATATATATATTCTTACTTACTAGTAAAATATTGATTATATAGTTAACTAATACTTTTAATTGAAAGTTTCTATAGCGAACACATGGAATAGCTTAGAACTCCTAACGCTAAGTTATAGCAAGGTAGCCGTAAGGGAACTTGTGGCTGATGGATACTATTCAATTATCCCCTACCCTGAAAAAAATGTTTCGTTAGTTAATTTATAATGGAAATATTTTCTATCTCTTAGAAATTTGTTACTAACTCTATCTATGGGAATCTAGCATAATTGGTTAATGTCCTAAATTGTCAGTTTAGATGATGCCCGTTCGAATCGGGTGATTCTCGTATTTTGTATTGTTTACTATCACAAAAGCATCTTTTATGGCTTTGTATAAGATAAACAAATTACTACTAAATAGAATAGACCTGTTAGCCTATGAGCGCAGTCCCTAGTATTTGCCCTCTATAATAATTTTTTACTTTATTAGAAGGCAGATATATTTTATTTTAGTCGATGATTATTCTCATTTTAATCTTATAAGATTATAGTGTAATCATTTTTTCTATTAAATAACGCACTGTTATTTAACTATTTATAATAAAATAGTCTCTGTTTTAAGGTCCTTAAGGAAGCCAGATATACTGGCGCTATATGAAATGAATCTATCTGTAATTCTATTTCTAATTGGTATTCTAGGATTTGTTCTTAACCGAAAGAATATTATTCTTATGCTAATTTCGATTGAAGTAATGCTACTAGCTGTAACACTACTAGTACTAGTAAGTTGTTATAGTTTTGATGACATTCTTGGTCAAACATATAGTATTTATATTATTGCTATTGCTGGTGCTGAATCAGCAATTGGTCTAGGAATTCTAGTTGCTTACTACCGACTACGAGGAAATATTAGTCTACGACAATAATGTATCTATCACTTCTTCTTCTACCAATGTTCGGATCTGCCGTAGCTGGTCTACTAGGACGAAAAATTGGAGTAACAGGAGCACATATTATTACATGTTCTTGTCTAATTACATCGGCTATTCTAGCTATTGTTGCGTTCTATGAGGTTGGACTATGTAATAGTCCAGTATCAATTAACCTAATCAGTTGGATTGATTCTGAGCTAATGGATGTTTCTTGGGGATTCATGTTTGATAGTCTAACAGTATCAATGCTACTACCTGTTCTAGTAGTTTCTAGTCTTGTACATATCTTCTCTGTAGACTATATGAGTGCTGACCCACACAACCAACGATTCTTTGCATACCTTAGTATGTTTACTTTCTTTATGCTAGTACTAGTAACAGGAGATAACTACCTTATTATGTTTGTTGGATGGGAGGGAATTGGTATTTCTTCATATCTACTAATTAACTTCTGGTTTACACGAATTCAAGCTAATAAAAGTGCTATTAAAGCTCTAGTAGTAAATCGAGTTGGTGATATGTTTCTATCAATTGGATTCTTTGCTATCTTCTTTGTATTTGGTAATCTTGATTACAGTACAGTATTTAGTATTGCTCCTTTTATTAATGAGACTATCATTACAATTATTGGTCTACTACTACTACTCGCTGCCATGGGTAAAAGTGCTCAACTAGGTCTACATACATGGCTTCCAGACGCAATGGAGGGACCTACACCAGTTAGTGCTCTAATCCATGCTGCTACACTAGTTACAGCAGGAGTATACCTTCTACTACGATCATCACCAGTTATTGAATATGGTCCTACAACACTTATTGTTATTACTTGGGTAGGTGCTCTAACAGCATTCTTTGCTGCGTCAACTGGTCTACTACAAAACGATCTAAAACGAGTTATTGCTTACAGTACATGTTCACAAATGGGTTACCTATTTATGGCTTGTGGTCTAAGTCAATACAATGTTGCACTATTCCACCTTGTAAACCATGCTTTCTTTAAAGCTCTACTATTCCTAGCAGCTGGTGCTGTACTACATGCCACATATGATCAACAAGATCAACGACGACTAGGAGGTCTAATTGGATTCCTGCCTTTCACATACACAGCTATTCTAATTGGAAGTCTAAGTCTAATGGCTCTACCTTGGCTAACAGGATTCTATAGTAAAGATCTAATTCTAGAAGTTGCATATGGACAATATGAATTCTCAGGACAAGTTGCTTACTGGCTTGGTACTCTGAGTGCTTGCCTAACAGCTTTCTATAGTCTACGACTTATTAGTCTAACATTCCTAACATACCCTAATGCAAGTAAATCAGTATATCTACATACACACGATGCACCAACAATTGTTATGATTCCTCTAATTATTCTATCACTACTAGCTATTTTCTTTGGATACGTTGCACGAGATCTATTTGTTGGTATGGGATCAGATTTCCTATCACCTAGTCTATTTACACACCCTTCACACATTAGTCTAATCGAGGCAGAATTTGGGCTACCTCAAATTATTAAACTGCTTCCTGCTATTGGTACTCTAATGGGTGCTGGACTAGCTCTATATCTATACCATATGCTACCAGTATTTACTATTGATCTGACAAATAGTACACTAGGACAAAAACTTTACCGATTCTTTAATGGTAAGTACTATGTTGATGTTATTTACAACCATTACATTATTAATGGTGGACTTCAACTAGGATACGTTATTAGTAAAGTACTAGATCGTGGTATTATTGAACTAGTGGGACCTTATGGTCTAGCTACTGGACTAACATCAGGAAGTAAAGATATCGCTAAACTAGACACTGGTAACCTAACTAGTTATGCACTATATCTAGCTATTGCACTAGTGACTCTAGTTATGATTCTACTAAGTCCTGTACTACTTAATGCTGCACTAATCAATGCACCACTAATTCTAGTACTACTTACTGGTATGGTATGTCTTCCATACATTGCTTCTACTACAAAATAGTAATATACCCCCTTCTCTTAATTCTATATACAATTATATCTTACGCTGTATAACTTTACTATTATTCTGCTATTTCTATTTTCTTTTTAGTAATCTCTTACTGTTTTGTATAAGAGTAACTTATTTTACTAGTAAAATAGCATTATTTATACTAGTAAATAGTAAGAAAAACAAAGTATAGGAATACTAGTAATTAGTATATGAAGGTAATACTAGCTTAATTGGTAAAGCGCCAATCTGTGGAGTTGTGTTTATTCCGGTTCAAGTCCGGAGTTTTACCCTTTGTAAATATAGTTAAGAGATCTTTTGTTTAAAAGAATTTTATATAGGTAGGGCTATATTATAAAAATTATGCTTGAAAAAGTAGTAAGGTCCAAGATTATTATTATTAGAGAATATTTCCATCTAGGATAGAGAAAATTTATAGAAAATGGTCAAAGAATACTTTATTGCTAATAAAGTGAATATTCTTTTATGTAAACAGTCTCCTAATATAATTCACTATTAAGTATATAAGCATTAACTATCTATTTAACAGCTTTAACATAGTATATTATCGTTTTATTTAATAAATACAATCATCTAGTTAACTTAATTTATTTAAGGTTAATTAGAGATTTCTATTTGTACAAAATCTGGCCTATTTATAATTAGCCCCCTTTTTTAACTCTTGCTGGAATAGGCTAACTGGTTAAACCATACCATTCATACTGGTAAATCGATGGGTTCGAGTCCCTCTCCCAGCTTTTTTCTATTACTACTAAAACGACTTTGTCATGTTATATATTATTATGGTGCCAAGGTTTATATACTGTTTAATTACATAGAGAATATAAATATGACCTGTAATAAAACTATATTGTTTGTTTCAATGTTCACATCACAAAAAGTAGTAGCTATAAAATCTTCCATTTTATTAGACCTGACTATTTTAAGGGTATTTTGCATGGTAAAGAAACTATTTTCTTTTTTATATAGCACACTAGAGGGCTCGAACCCCTAAATCTCCTAATCCGAAGTTAGGCGCTTTACCAATTTAGCTAAGTATGCTTTTTTATTAAAAGACGCTAACAGAAAATGTGTTATGTTATAGGAAAAAAATTTCAGTAGCGCTTTATAATAAACTTACTATGTTCTATTGTAAACCTCCTATGAGACTAGAAATAGAGTGCAACTACGAAGCTTTCGCTTTAATATATTGTGAGTGATAGGACTTGAACCTACACAGTCTAAGACTACCGACTCCTAAGGTCGACTTGGCTACCAATTTCAACACACTCACATCTACTTATACATATCCCTATATAACTAATATAGACTAGACTTTTTTTAGATTCCGTTACTTTTACCGATTTTTGTAAGGGGAAACATTGTTTCCCCCGGATAGGTTAACTTAGTGTTAAGTACTCGATAATTATGAGTAAAGTAGCAGGAATGATACCATTAGGGCAAATAGTCCTGTAGCCTCTGATAGAGCGAATCCTAGGATCGCGTAAGTAAATAGTTGACCTCGTAGGCTAGGGTTTCGTGAAACTCCTTGGATTAGAGCAGCGAATACGATTCCAACTCCGATTCCGGCTCCGATCAGTCCTAGAGCAGCTACTCCTGATCCGATGTATTTAGCAGCAGCAAGCATAGTAAATAACAATGATGTGGTACGCCAGTATGCCAATAATTACAAAATAGAATTACGGTAAACACTAGCTGGTAAACAGATGCTGAATATCTTTTTAAAGAAAAGATGTTTTCAGTTCCTATACAATTGAATCAATTTCCTAATTATAGAATGTCATATCATATGTTTTTCTAGTTCTTGATAGAAAATTAGTATTAGAAAATCGAAGA